GCATAACTGAATATTTCATTTGTTATAAGTATTTGCTAAGAATCTGTTTGACTTGATTGGCTCAAATAGGTGATCAAGATGCATGCCTTTGGCTATATGCTGGTTTTCGGGGTGCCATCCGTGTTAGCCATCATGAACTTGATATGGTTTGGGAAGATTTTTAGAGGCGTGGTGAAGGTTTTAACAAAGAGGTGGTGACGGGGACGGTGACGGTGACGGATATTGGGAATAGATGTCTAATGTTTTTCAGGTATCATTCCGCCTGAGATTTGTACATTTTTTCTACCACTGCTTCCATATGTATAAACCATAGATAAGAAAGAAAAGGTCGAAATCCGAGTAGTAAAGTAAAAGAAATTTGAGTCTGATCCGATTTTCCAGACGATTTAGATGGAATTGTTGTTGTAAATGGTTCCAATGTATTTATCTGTATACCTGCACCATATCTTTTAATTATTTCATTTCCATAAACACAATTTCCTGTCAAAACTGACATCAAGATTGTGATGTTTGAACATTTATTGATTATTTTGAGTTCGCAATGAAATCTTTGGCTACTCACATTACTTGATTAACATAGTGAGGATTTTCAGAACTGTCCCTTTATTCATTTTAGCAGCAGGGTTATGACTGTCACTTGATTGACACACTGGATATGTTATTTTCATTTTATCTAAAGCATACATGTTCGATAATTGTATACAGCTCATATTTAAACATGGATGCGACAGGGACGGACCGAAGGGGCATGCAAGCCAACAACATGAAACAAATAAGACAAAAAACTATTAGACAAGATAATGTGCAGAAACATCTATCTCAAACCTTTCATGAATTTCCCAGATATATTTCCCCATTAATAGAACAAATCTTAAACAGACAACTGTGCCTAACTGAAGAAATCAAAGTGTTGAGACCCAACAATAGAGGAGCTCTTTATTATTTCAATTTTTTTTAATTGATGTCATAAAGTTCTGCAACAAAAACCTTTAGGGCAGAAATATAAAGAGTCTAAATCTCTTAGACGACTCTAGGGTCTATAAAGACAAGACGTTTAGGGGTGTTTGATTTAAGGATTGCGGGATTCTCATGGATTCTCATGGGATGAGAATCCCATATTCCCATGTTTGGTTGGCTGGGAATTTATTCCCGGTAATGTTTTATTACTAATAGTAGATTTTTTGGGGTATATTACTGGGAATGTGATTACCCCCTTTCACTTAGGTATTGTAACATTACCGGCGTTTTGGACTAAAATGCCCTTAAATTTTTATTTTTTTTCAAAAATATCCTTATTCTGTCATTGAATAATAAAAATTATACGAAGGTTAAATTACAAATTTATCCTTAAATTATTTTAGATTTACAAAAAAAAATTTATAATTGAAATTTTATATGAAGTTCAGAGGTTAAAATTTTTTTACCCTTTCATTAATTTTTTTTATATTTAATTTTTTTTTATTTTTAATTTTGTAAAAAAATTATATAAATATTATGAATTTAATTTTTTAAAGAAAATATATAAATATTTTACAATTTGTAATATTATACAAATATATAATAAGGATAATTTGGTCAAATATACATTACAATAATCTTTTATTCATTTAACCAAACACGGTAATCTTACATTCTTGCTAAACCAACCAAACACAAAATACAACATTCTCAATAATCTTATTCTCTGGTAATTTTTTATTCCCACTGATAATCTTACGGAATATCTTATATTCCGTGAACCAAACGCACCCTTAGGGCAGAAATGTGTGTAGAGATGGTGTAAAGCAAATGAATGAGCCATACGGCTTGAAAATTTTCATGTTTCTTGTGGGATTCTTGTTCCTTCATTCATCTCTTTTCTTAATATATGCTGATGATCTGTCATGTCAGAAGAAGAAAAAAACATATTTTTTTAAAGAAGAATCATGTTTGAAGTAAGCAAGCAAGAAGCAAAAGCAGATTTGCCATTTATACCTGGAGTCTCAGACTCTCAGCACAAGGATAGCTCAATGGAGTTTGTTGTTGTTCTTCTTTAATTGATTATACGGGCATCTTTGCAAGGTCATGGTCCTCCATTTCTAGCTCATGCTGGCATCAATGGGCCCCCCCTCCCCTGCACTGCCTGCCAGTTGCATTTAATTTCTCAAAAAAAAAAAAAACTCTTTCACATGCATACACAACACAACTCACTTACCCTTATAAATCAGCGAATAATTAACGATGTTATAAATAGGGATGTAAATGAAATTAATGAAGTTATAATTAAATGAAATGAGTTTTAAAGAATGAAATTATGTTCGATTATTTATTGTTGAACCTATTCATATTTGGTTCGTGTTTATTTAAATTTTCTCTATCGTATCCGTCTTCATTTATTTAGTTTTTAAAGGTGTTCATGTTCATTAGTTTAGCATTCGTGAATATATTCGTTTAACGTTCGTTTAATGTTCGGCAACCAATACCTTCTTTTTGTAGCATGTTAAAAAAAATGGTGAAACTATACCACTATTCCTTAAGTTCTTTAGGCTTCACAATCTAAAGTTCAAAGTTCACCTTATGTCAATTTAATCCCTATTTTTGCCAATATTTATAATATAAAAAAGAAAAAGAAGAAATGAGTAAAGAAGCTTATAACAATTCAATAAATAAGCTAGTTCGTGAACATAAATTAATCGAATACACCTTTATTCATGTTTATTCGTTTATTGAACATAAAATTTTTATTCATACTAATTTATTTAACTTAATAATTCACGAACACTATATTCATTTATACCTTTAATTACAAATATTTACCCTTATCATTTAACCAAATAGTAGTAACAAAATAGGTTAAAATTTTAGGAATATTGTGGGTGGGAAATTTTTTGAAAAGTTGGAGGTGTTAGAGAATTATTTTGATATCTAGATTATATGTTACAGTGTATGAAAAACTCGTCACATGGGAGTGACGAATTCCATAAAATATATTAAGAAAATAAAACTCTTCATATGAAATGAAACAAAAATTTATGGAACTTATCATGAGAATGACGAATTTTAATTATTTATTATATTTTATAAAACTATCCTCACGTGATAAATTTTACATACAATATAACAAATGATTTAGATATCAAAATAATTTCCAAATACCTTAATTAAAAAAAATCGCTAACATTATTTATTCTGATTTGAAAATCGGACCGGTTCAATCGGGAATCGTTGCCTAGTCCGGTTTAATCTAAACCGGTTGAACCGTTACTAGTGAACCGGTCAGAACCGCTGAACCGTTCGAACCGGACCGGCTGAAAATAGGAAAAAACCGGAAAAACCGAAAATTTTGTTTTTTTTTTGTTTTTTAAAATTAAACCAAACGTCGTTTGTTAAACGATTCAAGTCGAACTCGAGTATTGATGAGCTCGAACTTGAAAACTTTAAAAGTAAGCTCAACTCCACTCAAACTCACAAGTTAAAAATTATCAAGTTCAACTTGAACTCGAAATATAATATTGAAACTTGAACTCAAAAAGGCTTGAAATAAAAAAAAAATTAGAAGCTCAATTGAAGCCTAAAATTCGAACTTGATTGAAGTGAAAGAATAGTTCACTCAATGCTCACCAAAAGACTCCATGATTTTGAATGCCAAATTACCTCTATTATTTATAGAAGTTAGTTGTGATGCTCTTCTATGTTTCTTAGTAATGTGGGATTGTTTTGTTCTCATATTTTTACTCTTTAGACTTTTGAGATGCTCTTCTATGTTTCTATGTTATGTTTTACCTTAAATATTATGTTGTAGTTAATTTGAATCATTTTGTTTCACTTGATTTTATGGTTTTTAATTTTATATATGTTATGACTTGCTTTGAATATAACTTGTGATATAAAAATTATTTTTTATTAAATATTTTTGATATTTTTATTTAATTTTTTAAATAATTATGACGTCGTCCGGTTCTTCCGACTGGTCAGACCTGTTCGATCGGTTAAACCGGTAGCATAGCGGGTTCGCTAACCGATCCAGTTCTGAAAACATGATTATTTAACCAGATAAGTCAAATAGAGGGAGGGGTAAATAGTAACTGGTGAAAAAAAGTGGGGGGAACAGGCTGAGAATGGCAATTTATATATCCAGGCTCTCTAACATAATAATAACACTATAAAGCTGCATATAAGAACCCTTTTGTCAGAAAATTACAAACCAAAGGGCTACCATATTAGCCAATAAGGGCCTCATTCATCCTTCTTTTCTCTTCAATCTCAACTCTCGGTGGAAAAATAAAGAGAAAAAGAGAAACAAAGAACCAACTTTTGTCACAGGCCACAGGGAAAATACAATACAATAAGAACCTACAACTCCAATAATAGTGCCCCCCCCTAGAATGGCATTTCTGTAAATTTCATGGAAGCAGACATCCCTCATACCACACCACACAGAGCTGTTCAGAGATGCATTGACTGGTCGCCTTTTGACCAGTACCAAAGAAGTACTGGTCACTGCAATTCTCAGTTTGCTGCAACAACGATATTTCTACCTCATAAATGATAAGATGAGTTGCTATCTCCCAACTATTTCCACTTCCCTCACCATGGTATGTGCGGTTCACTCTCCAAAGTCTAATTAATGTTCCTTAAACTCGAGTGTAAGTATCATATATATATATATATATGAATTCATTGAAGGATCTTAATTTGTAAAAGAATATGTATATTGTCAATAAAATAAATTTTTTTGAATATATATTACCTTAATATCTCCATAAAGGTAAAGAAGTTACAAGTTTGTATGACAAATTTGGATGTCAAGCACTTATGGACTGAATTGAATTAATTCAAAGATTTGTACAATAAATGCATCCTTTTCTCACCTCTAGATATAGTTGTTGAACCCAAATCCACAACAATTGGCTTAAATTTCACTATTTATAGCCATTACAACCAAGCCCCTAGTTTGTGTTTAAACACAAAATGTGTTTAAACACTGGAAAACGAAGATACAGAATTAGAGTGATGAATGTAACATGAAACATAGATGACAAATGAGATTACCAATTACAATATACAAACTACCAATGTGATTAATAATATCTCATTTTGGAGCTGATGATTGGTTCTTGTGGGAAGCTAAAGCAAGTATGGAATTAGCAAGCTTGTTAATGGCATCGACCAGGCCATTGATGCCTTGTTTACTGATCTCTGTCTTGGATTCTTCGATCTTTAGTCTTCTCTCATGGAAGCTTAGGAGATCTCTATGTCGTCTCTCCTCTCTTTCTTCACTAGCCTGGATGGCTTCGGCTATAATGGAAGCGCTTTTTGAGATTGCGGTGGCGGTGCTCACTTCGTTCGAGTTGTTGGCACCGGTGCCGGTACCACCGCTGGTGCCTTCACCATTATCTCCTCTTCTTCTCCTTCTCTTTGCCGGTGAGTCTGAATACTCACTCGTATCAGAATCTGAGCTATACCATCACACAGGAACGTTGGTTTTCATGTAAACGGTGTGAAAAATAGGTCTAAAAAACATGCAACATATGCGACCAAGGGCAAGGGAAAGAGAAAGAGAGTACGTACCTACGGTGGGCAGTGGCTGAGCATATGAAATTGGAGGTGGTTGTAACAGTGGTGAAGGAGCCGTAGGTTCTGTTGATGGCGGTGCTGGTGGCGGAGATAATGGAGTAGCAGCCGCTATAGGAACTTGAACTTCTTGTTGCATAATGGCCATCGGTCTATCCAGAACATAGGGTAAGTTGGGAATATTAGGATCTGACCCACCGTCGCCGCCGTCTCCACTAGCCCCCACCGTTTGAGCTCCTTTCTTCTCCACCACCTCCTCTAAACGCTCATATATCTGGCGCAACATGTTACTAGGCAAGTTGTTTCCTTTCCTTTCGTTCTTCTCCATCTCCCAATACGATCCTCCTCCTTTACTATCAGCTGCCATTCTCTTCTGGTACTCCCTCACTTTCTTGTAGTCCCGCATGAGATTATCCCACTTGTCGTTGCACTGGTTTTGGCTCCTCAAACACCCTTTTCTCCCGCAATAATCTTCCACCCATTTCCATCTCAGCTCCGTCGGTTTGCCTCTCCCTTCGCCGTCGTTGCTTCTCTTCATCCTCCTCTTGTAATCCATCTCCTTCGCCTCGATCAACACCATCGTTTCGTGGACGGACCAGTTCCCTTTCCTGTATTCCCTCGTAACCACGTTGTTTCCGCCTTGATCCGCCATCATCATCATCAAGTGCATGTAATGGCAACACAATAATCCTAAAACAACACACAAAGCAAAGATGGGAAAGAAAGGGAAGCAAGGGGGTCTAAAGGTGTAAACTCTCTGGGACCTGATTTGATGTCTGTGGTCAAATATCACATAGATTTTCCATTTGAGGCAAAGGAATTAAAGCTAAAGATGATTGACTCCATAAACATCACTCTCAACACAAAAATGGAAGATTGAAAGATTATAAAGATCATGAAAGTTGTGTTTGAAACTTTCTCCATCTATGCATACTAGTCTTTTGCTGCACTTTAAAACTTGATCATCTCCTTAAAATCATTAAGAAAGCACGAAAAAAGAGAAAATCTTGAGAGTTTAATTAAAGTTGAAACTCTCCCCAGAAAGTGAGGGAAAAACTTAGCAAAATCATTAAAATCATTTTTATCACATAGACTATTTATTAAATTATCACATATATCTATTATGATTTATTATAAGTTCTCTTGACATATAGTTATTATAGTTCTAACAAATATCATTTTTTAATTTTTAATGAAGCCAATAAATAATACACGGATAACCTCTATTCACTCTTTTTATATATAAATTTGAGGTGAATACATAGTAATATTTATTTAAAGACTCTTAATTAATTTTTTAATAATAAATGGTCATATCTTTGCATGCACAGTATTTGAATCCGGGACCTCAAAAGATAATAATAGATACTTTAACCATTGAGGTCACTTAAATAGGAAAAATGGAGATGTCTAGGGTTCACACGTTTTCATCTTAAAATTTAAATTTTATTCGATTAGTTAATCATTTTACCAATGAGTTTCACTCTAAAACTTTATTTATATACACCTCATAATTTATATAAAAAAATTATATTATATATATATATATATATATATATATATATATATATATATCCCTCAAAAATATTTATGGATCAATTTGGACATTATGGGAGGAAGAGGACAGCTTTGTCCTTTAGGGGGTAAAAAGTAAAACACAGATGAGGATTTCGTCTTTTAGGGCAAGAGATTAAGAAGCCCTCAGTGCCACGTCCCGAACCGTTTTTCTCGGCATTTATCTATCTACCTGCCACGCAGGACCAAAATTGTTTTCGCAGTGGTCTCACCATTGAATAGGGTTTTGACCATATAGAGGACGAGCCATGGGCCCGTAGGGTCTTTCAAAGACCCCTTGACTAGTCTCTTTCGTTCCAAGTTTTAGGACTCTCTAGCCTGCACTTTTCCATTTTACCTGTGAAAACAAAGTTTCGCAAAATAAACTTATAAATTGATATCATTACCAATTTGTTGTTATTAAAGTAATGATATTAAATTTTTAATTGTTAATCTATATAGTTAGGATCATAATTAAATATAATTAATTATATTTAACTAATAATAAATTTATATGTAAGTAGAATGTTTAATGTTATTTAAAAAATACATTTTCATTTGTTGGAAGAGGGCAATGACTAGTTGTGAACCCTAAACATAGAATATTGGACCAGCATGAAATATGTGAAAATAAATTAAGTAGGTTAAATTATTAAGTGGGTTAAATTATTAAGTGGGTTTTATAAGTTTTCATGTTTTTTAATGACTACAATTTTAAAAATTTAATTGTTGAATTTATTAATATAATTGTATTTGTTATACATGTAAAATTTTAATTAGTTTGGTATTTCTACCGTGTTGATTTAAAATATTAATATTTTTATCAATATATATTTAATGATGCTTTATATATATTTATAATATTATTAAATGTTTGATTGAGTTAGTATCACGAGTCAACTAAACATCAATTCAACTATAAAATATTAAATTACTCTATTTAAAAGTATAATAAATGAAACCTATCAAATGACTTCATTGATAAAAGAGAAAATTGTTCTCCCTAAAAGTATTGAGTTCGAGTAAATGCATCTCAATAAATTAAGAAAGTTATTAATAATCACTATCTTATAATAACATCTTCCATCTAAGAAAAATTATAATAAATATTAATGTAATAGTGTTTTTGTCTTTTTATACTTTTAAATAATATTTAGATAAAACAACTAAAAATCAATACTTAAATATTGAATACATGATCCATAAGTTTCAAATATAAATTTTTTAACACTCCATCTATAATCATTTATGAAATATATATTTTACGTGAATTATTTTTTATCTTTAAAATATATTTAAAAAAGGTTAATATATATTTTAGTACAAGAAATTGACATTAAGGAGCAATTTGATTTTGAGTTTTTCGGTTGTTCAATTAGTTACCTGAGCTTGACTTTATGACTCAATTTGGTAAATAAATGTTGATCCAATTAGGTATATGAACATGATTTATCGGTTCAAATCGATATGTGGACTTGTTTTCTTGGGTTAGTTTGGTACGTAAATTTGACTTATTTGTTTAATTGAAAATCCGAATTTTAAAAAAAAAGTTAGATATCTAATTTAAGTCAAGAAGTAGAATACGAATACCTACTAAAAGGAAATATATGGATTAGAGATATTAAAGGAAAGAAAAGGGAAATTAAGATTTATTTATGGACTTCTTTTTATATCAATTGCATTTGTGAAATTTAAGAGAAAGAATGATTGAATGTTAGCGTAGGGACCAATTTTACCAATTTTTTATATCATTTGCTTTTGTGAAATTTAAGAGAAAGAATGATTGAATGTTAGCGTAGGGACCAATTTTACCATTAAGCATTTTTATTTACTGATAAAGCCCATTATTTATTTACCATTATCTTTAGTGATAGCAAACGGGCGGGTCAAATACGGATACCCCCTCCCCATTCCATACTCACCTAATATTTTTCAATCTACTACCCGCCCACCATCCATAATAGGTACAAATTTTCAAATCCACACTCGCCCACGCGGGTACATTTTCAAATACATCCCCACACACACTACCCACTAGTGACGTACCCGTCTAGATCCGCCTGAAAGCAAACTTAAGTTATATATAAACAAAAAACATAAAAAAACATGTCCATTAAGAAACATAATAAAATAATCCAAGAATTATTTGAGTTAAGTGTTAATATAGATATTAAAGTACATAAAACACCATAATAAAATACATAATTAAAGTTTAGAAACATAAATGACAAACAAATAATGTTTTTGTTCTTTGGTACAATATTCTAAAATTTCAGACAATACTTGTGACATCTGATACTCGAGTATTACAATCATTATTCTCTATTTCCTCCAATTGAGAGCGCTCCAATTTAAATTCACTACTGCCTACATATATAATAGAAAGTGGGCAGGCGGGCGAGCGGTTATTTAGCTAGGTAAGTGGATGCGGGCGGGTAATGTCTCAAATCCATTACCCGCCCACTACCCGCTAAAATTATATCCATCCCGCCCTAATTAAAACGAATACGATACGAAATCCACGAAACTGTACCCGTTTACCATCTCTAATTATCTTCATCGTCACCTCAATTTTCATCATTGGAAAATAATTAAAAAAAGAAAAGAAAATTCTGGCAAACCCGAGAGACCAGCTATTCCGAGACTCTGGTCATAAGCCAAAAGAAACAAATACTGCTTCGCTTCTCTATTCGGTTGCTTCTCTACAATTCGCCATTTTCCTTCTCACACAACCACCAAAACTCCAAACAAACCTTAACCATCAAGGAAATTTAAAAAGAAAATTCAAAGAAATAAAAAACTGTCTACGGTATCTGATTCTTCACTAAAACCAAGACAAATCACTGAAAACCTAATTTCGTTACTGTTTATTCTGTGCTTACATATTCACCTTTGATTCCTCTGTTTTTTTTTGGATTGTTGATCCGTTTTTGTGGAGATGGCGGAACTAGATAATTGTTGCTCGACGCAATTGATCGATGGAGATGGAGAGTTTAATGTGGTTGGACTCGATAACTTCATGCGGACTACTAATTTCTCAAACTGTGGTCTCTCTTATGCCGTCGTCGCCATCATGGGCCCTCAGAGTAGCGGTGCGTTGCTTTCTTATCCGTTTCCAGTTTCGCTTTCTTGTTCTGTCCCTTTTGGCTCCTGCATGTCTAATTTTAGCTCGTTGAAGTTTCGAGGACAAGTTTATTGTTGAAATTGTAATATTTTTTTTTCAATACTTACTTTTAGTTCAATTGTGTCCAATTCGAAGATCGAGTTCTATAATGGATTACTTCTGTTAATGCTAAAATGGAACTGAATATCCAGTGAAGTTGATTGATTGTTTTTCGTTGAATTCGGATTTTGTGCGTAACTTTCTCTGGAAGTGAACCCGTGCATTCAAAATTCATTTTTCTCAAAATATCTAATGTAAACACTGAACCTGCCAGTGAAATTAGCAGATTTTGGAAGAGAATTTACATCCTATTTTCTAAAAATAAAAATTTAGTTTTTTTCTGAAGGTTAATGATTGTACGCTAATACAGTGATTACCATTTATCTTACTATTGTAATATATATACTTATACATTACTGTTAAGATTCTTTAGTGTTCGCTTTGAGGCTAGTTCATTGATAAACCGTTAGGTTGATCCCAACTGTTGTAATATTTTCTGAGGCAATCTGATGGTTTGTAGGGTTGCCAGCGTGTGTGTTTAGCTTTTACAATAAATTGCTTACAATGATGTTTGCCTTGTCGACTAAAAGGTTTTGTATTCTGTTCATAGGGAAGAGCACCCTGTTAAATCATCTTTTCCACACAAATTTCAGGGAGATGGATGCATATAGGGGAAGGTTAGTTGCATTTCTCAAATTACTGTCTAATATTTTCTGTTAGATTTTATTTTCTCTATCACGTGATAGATCTCTAAACTGATCCAATTTCATTGCAGGAGTCAAACCACCAAGGGTATTTGGATTGCACATTGCGTTGGAATAGAGCCTTTCACCATTGCCATGGATTTGGAAGGTACTGATGGAAGAGAAAGAGGCGAGGTAACTAGCCTTTTAAAGGAAATACTTTTGACCGTCGAAGATAATAGTAATTGCATTGAGAGTCAGTATATAAGTTGATTCATTTGGAGAGGAAGGGCTTTTATTCAGTGAGAGTTCTATTCAAATCAAATTGGAGTGAAATACCAAAATGTCCACAGAATTTGTTTTATTTTGGCAAGATATGGTCATATAAACACTTACCGGCTTGGGGAATTAACTGGATGTATATCTCACATCCAATTTACCGAGCTTCCCTGTGGTCTTCAAAACTACCAACAGACACAAATAAATACCAGCATGGAAGATATAAGAGTTGAATTGGGAAGGGCACCTCAAAGTATATATTACTAAATATAAAATGTGTATTAATTAATTATTCCAGTCATTTTTATTTTTGTTTGGATAGTCATATTTCTTTGCCACTATCTTCACATTGGATTTTTGTTGTTGTGATTTTTCCTTTTTTTCAGGATGACACTACATTTGAGAAACAAAGTGCCCTTTTTGCTTTGGCAATTGCCGATGTTGTGCTAATTAACATGTGAGTGTATAAATATATGCTCTTGATGTGTCATATATTTGATGATCAATGCATTAAGGTTTTCTTGTCTTAAAAGAAAAATTATGAGCAGTACTGCTAAGATCCTCTTAAATCACTATAAATCTTACCGGTACAGCCTTTGTATTTAAATTTGAATATGTGGGCATTTTAATAGTCTGAACTGGATGAACAACTCAATCACAATTATAGAACTTTCAACCAAGAGTGTGCAAACCTTTAAAATTCTAGGTATCTCACATGTATTCAAACATCAATTGATTGATTTCACCGGGGTTTCCATAGGCTAGCTTTGGAATTAAGGCCTGCCTATATAGCATCTCCATTGCTCACCCATGGCTCTTGTGCTGTAGTTCCTTTTCCTTTTCTTGTTTTGTTTGCAAAAAATCCTGAATTAGAATGAGTAATATTATAATATGTTATTAAGCTTTTGGACAATCTTGAATATAGCTCCAATTCTTAAATGTGATCCATTCAAGTAGTTCATCGTGTCTTTTATCATCATTGTTTTTTTTAATCTTTTATCTATTTCTTGTTTATATAGTCGTGGTGCTAATGGTAATGCATGGTTTGGTTTAATGGAATCTGACTTTGTCTCTATATTTCAGCCTATTTTTTTAAAATAGGATGCTAGAAATAAATTTAGATGTTAATTAGATATCGGATATTGATGTAGGTGGTGTCATGATATTGGTCGGGAGCAGGCTGCCAACAAACCGCTACTAAAAACAGTTTTTCAGGTACTCCGTGTTCACGTAATCTTTTTCGCCCCTGTTTATCTGCTCGTTAATTGTGTTTAAGAGTTTTGTTTACAATTTTAATCAAGGTAATGATGCGATTATTCAGCCCCCGGAAAACAACACTGCTATTTGTTATACGTGATAAAACAAAGGTCTGGATTAATGTTTTCCATTTTCTTCTAAACTAAACTCATCATCTGGCTTTGTACTGAAACATTTAAGGTATTCATTTTCCCCTTCTTTTTTTTGTGACTGTTTTTGTAGACCCCCCTTGAATATTTGGAGCCTATATTAAGGGAAGATATTCAAAAGGTAACATCGTGTATTATGTATTTCCACTTCCCCTTTCCCTCATTTTTTCCTAGCAATTTAATTGGTCAAATTTATTGCAGATATGGAATGTAGTTAGTAAACCTGCTGCCCATAAAGATACACCCCTCAGTGAATTCTTTAATGTAAGAATATATTGATACCCTTTTTACTACATGTTACTACATGACTATAAATATTTTTTCACCTTTCAACTTTGACATGAAGGTGGAGGTCACCGCTTTATCAAGCTATGAAGAAAAAGAGGAGCAATTCAAAGAACAGGTAGCCTCTCACTCTCTAGTTAATCAAGTTTCATCATACTTCAAATTTTTGCTCTAACTAACTTTTAGTGTCAACTTTTAAGTCTTGTCATGTTACCTTGTTTAACCAAATAATTGTGTTTTGGATCCCATGATCCCTTTTTTGTTGATACGTTAGAGAAGGCTTGAACTAGCAAGGAAAGTGGTTTTAGAGCCTTACTGCCTTGTCTGATATCATATGCAGGTTGCTGAATTAAGGCAGCGGTTTTTCAATTCTATTTCTCCGGGAGGACTAGCCGGTGATAGACAGGGTGTTGTCCCTGCCTCTGGATTCTCTTTCAGTGCACAACAGATATGGAAAGTTATAAAAGAGAACAAGGATCTGGATCTTCCTGCTCACAAGGTTTCTCCTTGCCCATATCTTCCTATCCAGATAGGATTTCCCGTTTAAGTAAATGTTTATTTCATCATGTTCATTAGGTAATGGTTGCCACTGTTCGTTGTGAAGAGATTGCCAATGAGAAGTTCTGTCGCTTATCCTCTGATGCGGTACTTTTACAGCTATCTTCCACTTAGATGTTGCTTGGCTGATTGAATACTTTTCAGTAATGGGATTATTATATTGTGTAGGATTGGTTAGCATTGGAAGAAGCTGTTCAATCTGGGTCAGTATCTGGTTTTGGGAGAAAGCTGAGTACTATCCTAGAAACCTACTTTTCAGAGTAAGTTTATCTCTACGGTCGGTATGTTCAATGACATAATTTCTGTTTGATGCACCTCTATTTCGATTTAAATTGTATGCAAAAGGATAGTTTTCCAATTTGGAAAAAAAGACCTACAGTAAAGGCTTTAATCTATGCATTATGATACCAGAATATGTAAGTTAGAAGGTTTCTTCACTCCTCAAACTTCAATGTAGTTCCTAGTTCTTTATTGTTTTTACTATTAGATAATTTTATGATTCATATTGGATATCTGTTGTTTTCCCTGCAAACTATAATCTTGCTTGTACACATCCATTTTTTTTGCCATAGATATGACTCAGAGGCAATCTACTTCGATGAGGGTGTAAGAAATGCAAAACGGAAACAACTGGAGTCAAAAGCTTTGGATGTAAGTTCCGTTTGCTTCTACCACTTTGATGCTTATTTTGTTTCAAAAACTTGATGGTTTGTATAGCTAACATTCAGGCTTTTAAATTTAAGTTCTAACATGTTGGTCACTTTCAACAATGACTTTTTTATTGTCTGCTTGAATTTATCTCCATGCATGCAACTGCAGGATTTTTTAATTCCTTTTGTCAGGAGTTTACAGTATTGTTTTGTTATGGGTGTTCTTTTAATGTCCATCTACTATAACCAGTGTTCTTTTGAATCATGATGGTCTGATTTTATCAATATCTATGATATTTTGTGGAGGTTGTTATATTTTAATATCTAGAAGGTATTCTGTTCTGACCCTCCTTGATTGTAAATTAGATAACCTGGTAACTAATCTGCTGATATATGCATTAATTGCTAAACGTGATATGTAATCTGCTTGAGTCCATGTGAGTGGATTTTCAATTTGTTGCCTCTTCATTATCTTTAGGATTGTTTACATGAATGTACGTGCTCACGGGCCTACAATGCTGGTATAATTTTGTAATGCTCTATTGTATGTGCCAGAATGAGTTAGCTTGTTGAAAATCTTGATATCACAAAAATCTTCCTCTTATTGAGGTACTCTCTTGAATTGACCAGCTTGTGCATCCTGCTTATCTCAAACTGCTAGGACATTTACGCTTCAAATCACTTGAAGGTTTTAAGTCTAGACTGGATCAAATGCTGAAGGAAGGAGAAGGATTTGCAGCTTCTGCTCATGCATGTACCAAGTCTTGTATGCTTGAGTTTGACCAAGGATGTGCAGGTAATGTACTAAACTCTTTTCATTTGTTTGTGCTTTAATGAACTATGCCAAGCAACCCTAAATTACCATAATAATATGATTTGAAAGTACTGAGTTAAGAATGTTCAACTTGTTTATCTTCTTTAATGGTCTATTTTTTTTATCTCTTACAGATGCTGCTATCAGACATACTAATTGGGATGCTTCTAGCGTTAGGGAAAAACTGCAACGAGATATTGATGCTCACATATCATCTGTTCTTAATGCAAAATTGTCTGAATTGGTTGCTAGATATGAGGTACTTTTATTTAGTAATTCAACCTTGTATGACTGTTCTATCTGTAGATTTTTTTAAAACTTTTCACTATTTTTTTTATCAATCAGCAAGGTTCTGACATATTAGTTTTACTCAGGAAAAACTTAGACAATCACTATCTGAGCCAGTGGAATCTCTACTTGATGCTGCTGAAAGAGACACCTGGGCTTCAATAAGAAAGCTTCTTACACGTCAGACTGAGAATGCTGTGTCAGAGTTTTCAACTGCCATTTCTAGTTTTGAGTTAGACCAACCTTCAATGGAGAGCATGCTGCAAGGTTTGAGGGATTATGCAAGAAATTTGGTTGTGAAGAAAGCAAAAGAACAAGCTGGAAAAGTTCTGATCCTAATGAAGGATAGGTAGGGAGTATCAGATTTCAAATTCTGTATTATTGCTGTTTGATTTTATTAATAGTCTGTTGTGTTTAATGCTTGATGTAATGTTTCAGGTTCTCAACTGTATTCAGTCATGACAGCGATTTAATGCCAAGAGTTTGGACTGGAAAAGAAGACATTAAGACAATTACTAAGGATGCTCGTAGTGCGGTGATTTTTTGGATTATTTCATTTATGGAACTGTAATATACATTAATTTCATGCTACAGCAATCTGAGAGGCTTTCAACTATTGTTCTGTTTGCAGTCTCTGAGGCTGTTAGCTGTTATGGCTGCCATCCGGTTGGAGGAGAAACTAGATAAAATCGAAAACATACTATTTTCTTCCCTAATGGAAGGAACAGAAACTTCTCCAGACCTTCTTGCCTCTAGCAAATGGGAGGAGGTAATGTGGGTTGGTTAGTTTTGTAATATAGTATGTATTTCATCAGACCAAACTTTCCTATTTAAAAGTCGAACATGTATTAGGTTCCTCCTGAAAATACCCTTATTACACCGGTGCAATGCAAGTCATTGTGGAGACAATTCAAAGCAGAGACAGAATATATAGTTACTCAAGCTATTTCAGCACAGGTATGTAATCTAATGCTCTTGATTGCTACTCTTGCTAGTTGTGGGAGATGACATATCAATGAGGAAATAGTTTAGGCTATCTTTCTAATGATTTTGTTTCTTATCTTAGGAGGCTTACAAGCGAAGTAACAACTGGTTGCCTCCCCCATGGGCAATTGCGGCAATGATTATCCTTGGATTTAACGAATTTATGCTTCTTATAAGGTAACTTCATCTAATCTAACGTGTATAGTGCAGTTATTCATTGCTTCTTTTTACTTGTTTTGTCCTCTGCAATGCTCTTTTAAAGGGGGTTAAACCCCTAGATTTTAACAAGAGTTGGGGCTGGAGCCACCCCATTCCTGGGAAGGCAGTCTTTGAACCTGCAGGTCAAAGCCCCAGGTTTAGCATGAATATTCATATAAATTCTGGTTCCTATCTCGGTTCATAATACTAGTATGGATCTTCCTTATTGTGCTCATAATATTTCTTTGCTGATGAAACAGGAATCCTCTCTATCTTATGTTTCTATTTGTTGCATATTTAATCTCAAAAGCCATGTGGGTAAAGATGGATGTCCCAGGGCAGTTTGAACATGGCACTGTGAGTATGAAAGAGAATGCACTCTATTTTTTCCAATTCTTGTAGTTGTGAGTTGTGACCAATGATTTACTGTTTCGGCATGCAAATGAAAGCATATACTCGTAGATGACGAAAACAAATTGGTGCTGAAACGTCTGTGGGTTTATTTATGTCCAATATTTATGTTTACTTTTGTTCTTTGGAATGTTACCAAGTTATTCAAGTTCTCTGTTCACCTTCTTTCCAGCTGGCTGGACTAATCTCTATTTCATCGAGGTTCCTTCCTACTGTGATGAATCTTCTAAAGCAACTCGCCGAAGAGGCTCAAGGCCATCAAACTCCCGAGCCCCCGAAGCAACAACCATTAGTAGCAATTCAAAGTTTCAGGAACCAAAGTCAGCCAAATCCAACAAGCTCAATTCCAGAGTCATCTGTTTCGTCCAACGTCTCAGTATCTGATAGTGGTCCTGAGTTCTCAAACCCTAACTTAAACGCAGAGAAGAAACACAAAAACTCCTGAAGCTGAGCTTTCTTGATAAAAGCCAGCTTTCCCGTGTAGAATGTATAACAAATAGGTCCAAATACTTCCGAATGAAAAATGGGAATATATTGAGAGGGAGGGAGGGTCTTACATACGTAGCAAAGGAACAAATAACGAAGGATAGGCTTACCAAAGTTGCCAAGGGTATCTGTTATTGTAGACAGTTCGAATAAATTTAAATAATGAAATCTTTTTTTTTTACTTGGCGACAGTTACGGATGTTTCTAGCCGAAATTTGTTATGCTGTGTGCTTTAGTTTACAACAAAGGTTTTTCCCTTGCGGGCATGCATATCAATTGAGTGGCTTGTGTTAACAGTGAGATACCAACTCTCTCAGGCTAGTGAATAAACGTAGCCATACTACACTTTTCTTTGCATTGATATCAGAGCTTCATGCCAATAGGAATTTCAACTTAGAACGTGCAATAAATGTGAGAACAAGGTTTTATGCTGCTGAGAAGAAAGGTAATTCTAACTCTTGGAAAAATCATGACAGCTTTTACATCTGTATCTGCTTGACCGATGAGCTTGATAATGTTACAAAAGTTTTCAAATGGATTGCATGAAATGCTGATCAATTAGTTCAGGCACTTGATTCACGACGCAGCATTAGACTTCATCTCTCGAGTCATGACCATCGCTTTTGACATAGTTTAGAGATGGTTAAATCTGCACCTCCAAATCCATCCATTATAGCATTGGCTGTAGGGAACTCTGCTCTGGATGTGTAACTACAAGAGAAATGAAGAATAATGAATTGCACCACTTGAAAAGAGGCGTGAATAGCATGAAAAAGTTTACAAGGTCCAGAAGAAAAGCCTTTACCTGCTCCGCAGCACAACACGGGGCATGCGTATCTGCTCAGCTGCAGCAAGTCCAGATTTGCTTCCTGCAATAAGGAAGCAAAAGTAGACAGGAACCTCGGCAATTGCTGCCCCTGCACGTAATGCTGCTACAGTCTTCTCCAAGCTGGATAGCGTTCACAGTATCAAATCAAAGTTGGTAAATGCTATACGGCCAAATGACCACTCAGCACATCACACATGAACATGTAGCAGCAGTCAATGCATTTCACATTTATATTTTGCCTAGATCAAAAAATCATTGAAATTTTAGTACACACACATATACGTATGTTTCCAGCAATCAACATTGACTAGAAATATTCTTGACAATTGCTAGAGATGTTTGGAAACGGTCGTGGTGCATGACTAGCCGTAACTTTAGAGTTGCCATTTCCCTTTTGCTTTGTCTGCCTCTGTTAAAAATGAAAATCTGAAGAACAAGAAGAGGAAAAATAGAGGTCAGACCTTTTAGATGATGTGGTATCAATGTTAACACTCACTCTCAGCAGGGATGCAACCTCCTCCGCAATTCTTTGTTTCTCAGACGAAGCTGGTCACGAAGCAAGAACAGAACCTCTTAATACCGACCGTTTTTTGGCAAACACAAGGCCGGGGAATATATACCTGCTCTTCTTGCTTCCTTCGCTAGTTGTTCATCCAAAGAAGCAGACACTCCTTTACTGAACACAAGTTGACCATAAAAGCTTTTCTCTACTTAGTCATTTCCAACAACTTTAATTTTCGAGAGTCGTTCATCACCAAGCTTTTCAACAATAAATCTGTTTTTGATTTGACAGAAAAGGGAAACATTAGCAAGCTTCAATGCAGTCAACGAAGCATCGTGAGCTCTAACAAATTGGTAAGTGTTCAAAGTTCAATACATTTCACTTAAGCAGTCATTATTTCCCAAGTTACTAGAAAAGGGATGTCTGAAAAGGACTACGTAGCATTAGATGAACTATCATGTGGCTTGTCATTTAATTTTTTCTTAGATTGCGCCGCCATGTAACGAACCAGAACATTCTTAACCGACAAAATATAGAAGGACAAGAGTTAGGCAAATTGGAACAGAACTACATCTCTTATATTCCTGAAATATACAGAGCATAGCATTGGTGATCACTAGAACATACCGAGCAATTTTATCCCCACTTTTACTGTAAGATGTTAAGATGATCACAGGTATTCCTTTGTTACATGCATCATCGATAAATCTTCATAAACACATCGGTAAAACCTGAATTGAAGGATTGGTCCTGAGGAGGAAAAGTAGGTTTCAGAAATGAACAAAACACAAAGAAAGGCAACTTACTCCTAGACTCTGGGTCGTAAAGGTAAACTTTTCAGCATGAGTTCCTCCAGTGCAGTTTTCTGCCAACAACAAGATAATCCATTGCTAAACATGTTATAAACTATAAGAACAAGCTAAACACTACGGCAAGCAAAATCCAACACAATTACAAGAAAGATTGTGTAGTAAAGGACGTAGTCAAGGCTGTAATAACAGGATAACAGCAGTGCTACATCCAGGGAAAGTTTATATCATTTCTTTATCAAGATCAACTCTATGATGTTTAGATTCTTCGCCGACACGTATCTAGACATGATACGGAGATAGGACTTCTAAGGATCCTCCACATACATGAAAAACCCTAGAAAAAATCGAACATAATTGTACTGGTTTCGTACTAGTACTGTACTCGTCATTTACAACTCAAAGTAGCAAAATTCAAGTTACCTTCTCGCGCAGTACACTTTTTACAAATGACTCCTCACTTGTAGGCAATGAAGTAGGCCAATCAATCTGCCAGATTACAACAGACTGTAAGCCACACAATTGATGTAATAACAATCAAACATACAATGCTAACCTCTACAGGAGATAAATGCTTTCAACCATACAAACGTACTCGATTAAAATACAGAACCTACATTTTTCCTTCATTACCAGCACCTCTCCTGGAAAGTAAACACAATGCATTTCAACAAGATTCATAGTTTCAATCATGAATTGAAAAAGGACAATTTTAGCTGAGATTTCACCTTACAAGATCCAAATAGACAGGTTCGGTCCAATTTGCACAGTCAAGGCCGAGCTTTTGAAACGCTGGTAAGTATTGGAACAATAAACAGTAAATTAAGTAAAAAAAACAACCCATTAGCGGATAATCATGAAGCTTAATCATTGAAGTATTAACTTTAGATCCTTTTTGCGCAATAGACGCATATGATCACTTCTTACGCCGCACCTAAATTTTAGGCTTGGTGATTACCCACACGATATGCGTCCATAAGTACCCTGAAATCATCATAAACAAAGAAAAAAAAAACAAATAAAAAAAGTATCAAACTAGAGAAAAGGGGAAATTCCAGAGCAGGAAATGTAACAAAATGAGTAGCATTACAAATAACTTACCCATCGACTTCGAGAAGAATAGCCAATTCCCGAGATGGGTTTTGGGTTTGGGGACTAAGGATGAGGTGAAAGCAGTAAAGCCATTGAATTGCGGGTTTTTCCCATGGTAGTTGAAGTTTCTGGGGAAAGTAGAGAAAAATGAAGCAAAAAGAGATTAGTTTTAGGAGGCAGACTGAGATTGCTGTTGATAGCTGGAGTTATGGTGTTTTTTTGAGAAGCCGAGTGTGTAGAGGGTTGAACAGGTTTCCTTGTCGGGAATTTTGCTAAAGACGGAGAGCTGGTGATTGGCAGCCAAAGAGTCCGTTTCTGGTTCACTGCTTTTTGGTCATGGTTTATAGATGTTCGGTTTCTCAAGGTAATTTACCATTACACCCTTGTTTTTCCTCTATTTCATTTCGGGTAAATATACATTTTGTAGTTGAGCATGGCTTGAGCATTTTGATATATATATATATATATATATATTCCTTTTATATTAATTATTTAAATATATTTTTAAGATTTAATTTGATATTTATTTATTTTATTTAATTAAGTATTTAATATGGTCTTTAGGTTCAGATTGTTACATGAATTTGATTTTATAATTTAATATGATCCAAATAAATAATTTACTTTTTAAGTATTAATTCAAAATAAAAAGGTAAAGTCTTGGTCTCAATTTGAATCAATAAATCAAGTCCAAGTAAGTGTGACAATGGAATGGGACGAGTCAAATTTTTATTGTGGCTAACTCGAAACGTAAAAGTTTTCATTCAATCTCAATCCAACCTAAATTTTAACATAAACATAATGTAAAATCCAAAAGTTTTAGTAAAAGTCCAACTCACCCTCCTACCTAAGTTCCAATAAGTTTTTTAAATTATATAAAAATAATTATAGAATAAAAACAATATTTTAATAAATATATGGATGCAAGATGGGATAAATTGATCTAAATTCAATCTTGATCCGACCATAAAGATGACAACATAATATTTATCCCGACCCTTGATTTAAGAAAACGGTCTCAATGAAATTGAAACTCACGAGGTCAAAAAGAATTATCATCCCTAAATTTAGGAACCAAACTGGACCAAATAAAAAATTATAGCACCTAATTGTATAACAAAGTAAGCTCAAGTACCAAAATATGCATTTATCTTTCTTTTATTTTTCTTTGGGGCCCAGGCCTAATCTATGCTACCCGATCCATGAAATTGATTGATTGGATTGAGGTTTTTACATAAAAGTCTGTTAAGCCCTAAATTAGGAAATAAACTAAAAATTTAAATGAAGCCACAATATTCGGTATAAACCAAGAATTGGGGGCGTTTGGTTTTACGAATGATCATAGGCATTCCGGTTTAACTATTCTCTTGATATGCACATTCTGATGATGTCATCCATGAAACAACATTAAAAAAAGATGGATTTAAACCTGAATTAGTACCCAAGTTAACAAAATGGCTGCCTTAAAAAAGGATTCTTAAATTTACATCACAAAGAAGTAACTATGAATTATATATTTTACACTTTGCTCATTCTCATTCAAATTATATAAGGAAAACATAAATAAAAGCAAAAGAGGCCTACAAAACTGATGCAACCTTGTAGCTTCTAACACAAATTGATGAAAAGCAAGTCATGCTTACCCCACTGGCATTCACTGTGTTTCAGTTTGAAGTGTTAATCTGAGATCTTTCCGAACTTCTTTCCGCTGTTGTCGAGGGTATCCATGTTCTTCCTCTTCTTTGACAATGTAGTTGGATTTTGATACCCATTTTCTTCATTGGTGAATTGAGCAGCAGTTCTGGCACGCAGCTCTTCTAAACTCTCGCCTTCTTTTGCTCTTTCCAGCACCTAAAATATACATAGACAGCATTTATGTTGTTGATGCTGAATGAGAAATGCGAAGCTGGTAAAGTTGGGGCATGACTTACTAGATGACGACCGTAAAGATGGGTGCTTGAAAGTGCTTGAAGTGCATTTTGGGCCTCTTGCTTCGTAACAAACTCCACGAACGCAAACCCTCTATGGTTTCCGAATTTCATTGGTAATCTCAGGCTCTTGATCTGAACAGCCAAAAAAGAAAAGTAGGGTTAGCCAGAGAAGCAGAGAACATTTTCGTGTTTGGTTTATAAAATCAACATACAGCTGATTCAAATTTGTCATGTTTCATCTTTTCTTTTAATGTACTTTATTATGTAAGTTTCCAGAAGAAACTCCACCAGACACTGCTTCAGTAATTCCCATGAACAAAATAGAATAGTATATACTCTAGCCTCTTGGTCCATATAGTTACCAAAAAAACTAATTCAGCACTAAGATATATATATATAGGGTTAAGAACGTAAGATCCACTTACATAATGTAAAACTTTTTTAGTTTTACACAAATTTAGGACCGTTAGATGAGTGAAAATAGACGGTTGAGATTAACTCATTGTTTTTTTCCATTGAATATCTTTTCTTATTTCCTATAATTAATTTCAGCCGTCTATTTTCACTCATCCAACGGTCCTCATTTCCTACTATTATATATATATAATGATGCCAACTCGTTTTAGTTATGCAATGTGTAGATGCGGGCCTTGATCATTTATAAATTTGTAAAATAAAAAACTTTTACCTGGCCAAATGGGCTAAATAACTGTCTCAAATCTTTTTCTGTTGCTTCGAAAGCTACATTCCTTACAAGCAACTTTGTTGAACTTTTATCCTTCTCAACATTTTCAACTGCTTGTTCTTCTTTTTTGGCATGGCAAAGTTGCAAGATAAGAGCATGCCCATCCAAAATAGTTCCCTAAAAGAACGAAAGCTGTCAAAAAAGCCGCAACTCAAATTGTTGAAATTATGATTTTTCTTAATTTGCTGATCTTAATTGTAACTACCTGCAAATCTCTGCAAACATTTGTTGCAGTCTCTACTGAATCGAACTCGATAAAACCATAACCCATTGAGACTTGCTTTCCATTCTTCAAGTGCTTTTTTACCTGCCAAAGAATGGCAAAACCACGAGGGTCAGAAGGACAAGATTGATTGAGATTAAAGAATGTTACGTATACCAAAATAATTACCCTGATGCTCTTTATTCTTCCTTCCTTTACAAGTTCAGTGAAATGATTCTTCAAGCTCTCTTCAGTAGTCTTGAAATTAAGGTTCTTGACAAATAGAGATCGTGACTGTGATAGCAAAGCAATGGTAAGTAATAAACGCAAATAATTTACCACATCAGAGAAAGAAAAGAGGCAAAAGAAATGAAGAAACTGATATCATATGCTGAACCTCAATTCTGTCAGGATCAATATCTGCATCTGATATGGCTTCCACATGTTGCTCCAAAATTGCTCTCTTAACATCATGTTCACCAACAGCTGCAACATTCTTTTTGTCGCCCTTGGTCGCTGAAATCTTATTAAGAACACTGTCAGGAGCCCACTCCAAGTATAAAGGAGCATCCCTGAATAGGGGGAAAACCAAATTCAGAAAAGGTTCAAAATATAAGAGCCACTATAGTGCCTAACAAACATATATGAAGTCATCCAGAATGAAAGTTCAGGTTAACAACCACTATGTTTAAGCATGTAGCCAAGTACAGCTAAAATCAAACACATTAGCACTCCTGAAGATAATTTGAAAATTAATTAACAAGTCTGTAAAGAAATTTTATTGTTCTGAATTGCAGTGAAGAGATTAAACTAATGTCTAAAGGAGGGGGAAATCTCACTTATAACGCTTATATGCTAAACCCTTAAATGCTGCACGAGCTTCTCCTGGTTCTAGGAAAGCAACCTGTAATGCCATGCACCCAAATCATTAATAAAGGACAAAACAGTCATGCACCTTGCAACAGCAGCATATCGTGAAATCAGATTTGCCAGTTATTCACAGTTTATATGGTACCACATAATAAATTTTAGGAGGAAAAAACAAAAAGCACTCCCTTACCTCTCCAATGCATAACCCTACACCAAAAATCTATATAAAAATTATAATTAGAACATATAAGCATACCAGGGCCAGAGTTTTTGTTGGGGGAAGTATGATCTTGTCTAAACTCCCAAATTTTCCAAACATCTTAGCTAGTTCACCTTCCGACGAACCATACGGCAAGTTCTTGACTAACAAAACATGATTACTCCTTTTTATACCATCTGTTTTACCAGCAGCTATTTCCTCCAAAGAAGATATATTTACTCCAGCATTTGTAAGGGCTTTCTTAGTCTCTGAAATCACTTGAGTTTCCCCTAAAGCAATACGGACAGCTAGATCATCTGCTTCTCGATCAAGCAACTCGCTCTTACTCACACCAAATTTCCTAGCAATGTTTTCAACAACCTATTAACACGCAATAAAATGAAAGAGGTCAATGATACAATCACGATATAGTGAAGCCATAAGAGCACTTCTACAGCATAGCCAAAGATGTAAGGCTACTATCATCAGTGCCAAAACGTGATGGGAAAAATAAGACAGGTTCACATCCCTTGGTAAGGTATCAGTATAGTAATTAATAAGCGAAGGTTGTGTGAAATGCAGTTCAAGTTCACTAAATCTCTTTTTCATTGACAAAACTTTTGCGATAAAAGAAAAAATCTAGAACATCCTTTAAATTCAGTTAATATACAGAAATGACCAAGGATTAATTTTTCTGAAAAAGAAAATGGTCTGTGATATATTCAATAAAACATACTGTATCAGGGCGCATGAAAAGACTGTTCCATGCTCTTGTGTCCCCGCTAGCTTCTGATGCCTTCCTCTGTTCCTCCCTCTTTTGCTTGAAACTCTTTGAACCTTGGTTAGCTGAATCATCAATCCTAAGAGAAAGGAATTGGACTTAATGACCATAATATATGGAAAACGATGATCATTTGAAACCTAGAAGGTTATAGAAAATGATTATAACTGAAGCTGCTTACTCTTGTTTGTCTGCTGGCTTTTTAAGTTTTGCTGGCATAACGTGCAATAATCTGCCCTGAAAAATTGATCTGTCAACTTCTTCTAAAGCCCTGCAAAAATAAACCACACAATAAGATCCAGAAGCACATTAGGATATCATCAAAAGTGTCAAAACATGAATACATCCCAAAATTAAAAACATACAAGGTTGGATGACCAGCTTTGTTTTTCTATTAGTGAAATCAGAGAACAAAAGCAAAGATAAGAGGTTAAGAATTAAAGGATCCAAAGGGATCAGCATCCATTTAATCTTTAGCAAATGAAAAAACAAATGATTCTTGTAAATACAAATAAATAAATATAGCAAAAAAATAAGAACTTTTAAAGTTCTACTGTTTAATGAATGGCAAGCATTAGAATTTCTGTGCCCCAAAGATGAGCATTCCTCTTATGTGAACCTTGAATTCAATGGGACAAGACAACCAGAAAATTATATCATGTAGCTGCAGCACTAGAAAAAGAATTTATTCAACGTTGAAATTATGAGCTTTTGGCATGCATGCGTTAACAAATGTTCAAACGAATCTTTGGAGAGAAAAAATTAAGTGCCAAAATCACCACTAAAAGAATTAACAAATAATACCTGACCGCACATTCTGGAACCTCGTAAAGAACGTATGCAATTCCCTTGGAACGCTTAGTGTCTTTATCAATAACAAGATGTACTTGTGAGACATCACCAAATTTGCTAAAGAGTTCCGTCAACTCATCTTCACTGTTAGATGAAAATCAAGAGAGAGAGATATTACTATGGAATGCCCTTAATAATAAAAGGAAAAGAGGGAAAATGAAACAAACAAGTGCATGTGCACAAAAGTATACGTTGCTGTATATGGCAGGTTACGAAGAAAAAGTCGACCACTCTCAAGGACTTCATCTCTATCATCTTTGACACCTGAAGATGGGTTGTCTGAATCAAGTATTTCACCATCAAGATCTTTGGATGAACCCTGTTGAATCTGATCCTGGTTAACATTCTCAGATACCGAATTCTGCTTTCTCTTTTGATCATCATCACCATCTTCCTCATTGTCACTGCTATCTGAATCTGACCAATCCTTTTTTACTCTACTCTTGAAATAATCCATATCCGAAATGACCTCATTATGAGCAACATTGTCTGATGCTTTGGTTTCATTTTCATCTGACGCTATGGTGGTTTCATCTGATTCAGCATAAACTGGAGTTGATGTCTTTCCGCCTTCCTTCTCAGCTACACCTTTTTTGTCAGTAGCTTTGCCATTCTGATTTACCGGGGTATCAAGAACAATGTCATTTGCCCACATTTTAGACTTAACCCTCGGCTGCATAAGCTGAAGGAACTCCTGAAGCTGCGGGTCATCACTCTCCCCGCTTTCAAGATCTTTTTTCACAGAACTTTTAGTCCCAGCTTTGTTTTTTCCAGTTTCAGTCAAATTATCCGGTTCCTTCCTAGAATACCGACTCCATGGATGAGGAGTACTAGGGTCCCCTACTTTCCGTGCAATCTGAAAGAAAACAAAATCCGATTTGTTTCTCCATACATTTCAAAATCACATCAATTTGCAATAGTTATATCATCTTTAAATCTTTGCCTAAACACAACAAACATCAATTAATTATGGCAAACCCTTTGAAGTTCAAAAGCAAAAAGGAACACAGAAGACCTCGCATATGATTCTAGAAGTATCGAGATAAGACTTGTTAAAGTACTTGACAGCTTCCTCAGCTTCTTGTTCCGTACGGTACCCAATAAATGCAAATTGTCTATTCTTTCCATCTCTGATTAAAATATAAATTCATCAAAAAAACAATGAACCGTAATGTTTTTTAAGTTCAAAAAAAGGAATTTAATCGTTACCTGGTTCGCATAAGCTTGACGTCGGTAATTTCTCCTTTCTGAGAAAAGAAATCTCTTAAACGCTCTTCGGCCACATGCTTTGGCAGATTTTTCACACATATTCTAGACCTTCACAAACAAACAAAAATCTTCATATTGTGACAATTCAGTGATTCAACTGGAAAAGAAAAGAAAAACGAAAGATAACTTACATAATTTCTATCGATTTGAGCTAAAGATGTATGGGCGCCGCTTTTCGAGGGAAATAAGGGTTGGTTCAGTGAGTCGGTTAACTTTTAAACCTTTGAATTGAAAGGAAGAAGGTTTTCTTAGTTTGAAGTTTGAACCGGGTGTATTACGGGTCGATGCGAAGCCCATATTCTTATCGGATTTGGTCCATTCTTTCAAGATCTAAGGTGTAGTCCAACAAGAAATAGGTGCTGAAGTCCATTAACTCTGCAAAGTGGTATCTCGAGATCACGGGCCAATAATATTGTCCCACGGTGATTGATTCTATAGTAAACTACATATTTAGTCACTCAACTACCAATTTAATTTTGTTATAGTCACCAATTAATATTATTTTTAAATCATACTTAATATTACGTTTTGATCACTTAGCGTTAAAAAGTTAACAGTGATACTAACGTATCATCATATCATTGAAAAAAAATTATCACGCCAGTAGTTTTATTTATTTTTTACGACAAGTAATCATATTTGAACCAAAACATTATGTTAGGTATGTTTTTGGGGGAAAAAACAGTTGAATGATCAAAATGACACCAAAATAAGAATTGAGTGGCTAAATATGTAGTTTACCTTTACTTTAATATTATAATGTTAAAAGCAATTAACGTTTCACAAATTAATATTTTAATATTTAATTTTATATAATTTATTTTGGATCAAAATAATTTTTCTATAAATAAAATCGTTGATTAAAACTTTGAAAAACATATAAGTATCTAAATAGAATGATTTTAATTTCTTTATTGCTTACATAATATAATAAACGAACAAAGATCAATTGATTTTGAAAGAATCTATTTTATACATTATTATATTAAATTATGAAAATTATAGAACAAGTTTAATAAAAAAAACATAACTTTTGGAAATGGGTTGAAAATGTTCATGGGATTCCCTTTGTATCGAGCATAGGAGGGCAAGAAAGACTGAAGAGACCCCTCATGTTTTTAGTCTTTTACAAAAAGAAAAAGAGATATTGCTTAGTCAAACACCCCAAATAAAGTATAATACTTTGATGGAATGTTGTGGGCCTTAACCATTTCGTACGTAGCATTAATTTATTTTTATCATTTAACTTTTATATCATAATAGATTACATGAATGCTTATGTGAGTGATTGTAATGTAATTTTTAAAAGTTAAATGGTCAAAATAAACAAAAATTGAAATAAAACGACTTTTATCCATGAAACAAATACTGCTTCGTTTCAATTCGGTTACTTCTTCTGTACTCTGCGCCTTTTTCCCGCGCTTTCCTTCTTACACAATCACCATAAATTCAAACAAACTTTAACGAAAGTCAAAATGTAAATCCAAATATATAAAAGGCTTTGTCTGTGGTATCCGATTCTTCTTCGCTAAAGCCAAGAAAAACTGAAAAGTTAATTTGGTTACTGTTTATTCGGTGCTTACAGATTCACCTTTAATTTCTCTGTTATTTTGGATTGTTGATCCGTTTTTGGGGAGATGGCGAAACTAGACAATTGTTGCTCGACGCAATTGATCGATGGAGATGGAGAGTTTAATGTTGTTGGACTCGATAACTTCAAGCGGACTACTAATTTCTCAAACCATGGTCTCTCTTATGCCGTCGTCGCCATCATGGGCCCTCAGAGTAGCGGCGCGTTGCTTTCTTATCCGTTTCCTGTTTCGGTTTATTGTTCTGTCACTTTTGGCTCCTGCATGTCTATTGTTAGCTCGTTGAAGTTTCGAGTAGTAGTTTACTGTTGAAATTGTTATAATTTTTTTTTCAACACTTACTTTTAGTTCAATTGTGTCCAATTCGATTACTTAATTTTTTCGAGATTGAATTCTATAATGGATTACTTCTGTTAATGCTAAAATGAAACTCAACATTCAGTGAAGTTGATTGATTGTGTTTTGTTGAATACGGATTTTGTGCGTAACTGTCTTTCTCTATAAGTCAACCTGTGCATTCAAAATTCATTTTTCTCAAAATATCTAATGTAAACACTGAATTGCCAGTGATATTTAGTAGATTTTGGAAAAGAATTTTCGTCCTATTGTTTTTTAATCAGAAATATAGTTTTTCTTTTAATGGTTAACCATTTTACGCTAATACAGTGATTACCATTTATCTTTCTGTTGTAATATATATACTTGTACATAAGATTCTTTAGTTGTTCACTCAGGCTAGTTCATTGATAACCCCTTAGGTTGATCCCAACTGTTGTAATATTTTCTGAGGCAATCTGATGGTTTATAGCTATGTTGCACTGATACGGATATGGGGACGAGAAACGGCAATTTTTAAAATTACAGGGTATGGGGACGGCAAGGGTACGACATATAAAATAATTTTAAAATTATAAATATATATAAAAATCATAAATAAAGACAAATATCAAGACTCAAACAATAATATTAAGTTTAGAACAGTAAAATCCATAAACAAACAACAATATTAAAATGTTAAATTTTAAGATTCAAACCATAATATTAACTCTATAATAATAAAATCCACAATAAAATCATAATATTAAAGTGTCAAATCTTAATACTATAACTCTAAATATCCAATATCTCCCAATGAATCAAAAGCATCTCCACCAACATCCCACATTTGGTTTTCTCATCCTCATATTGACTAGAACTCTTTGATAAAAGACGAAGATTGTAATGTAAACTAAATCTTCGGCGTGACTCGGATTTAACTTATTCCTCCTAAGTGAGTGGATAAAAGAATAAGTGCTCCAATTTCTTTCACAACAAGAGGATGAAGTAGGTTGTCCAAGCATTTTGAAAGCCAAAAATTGGAGCAATGGAATTTCGGCACCAAAGTTAGCCCACCAACTTTTCGGATCCGAAGAATACCTATTTGTAAGAGGCACCAAATCTTCAAAAGGCCGAGCTTAAGTGATAAACAAGCAAATTCATCGAAGACTTTGTCATAATCATCATCATTTGGAAATAACCTACGAAAACATTTCATTCTCTCTTGAGATATTTCACAATCTCTATGAGGAGCAACTCTACAAGGATCCTCGCTTAGCCAACCATCACTATAAAACCTTCAACATATTAAAAAAAAGTACACATAGCATCAAAGAACTAGGAGTTAAAAATATAAAATTCAAAACTAACAAAGTTATGTATGTACCTTGGATTTAGTAAATGAGCTAGGCAATGAAGAGGAGTATAACTCTTTGTCCAACGAGCTATAAGAATCCCATAAACAACATGATAAAAAGGACTGAAGTCTGAAATAAGACGTTTTTCCTTCTTGTAAATTTCACACTTCACTTTCTCAATCATGGAATCCCACAACTCATATACCAAATGAAGACATGGCTTATCAATGTCACATACTCTAAGCATGTCATAGATGAGTTTTGTGAAAATCAATGATGTAAGCTACTTTATCCCACCAATCATCACTCACAAGCTTTTCTTTAATAAAGTTTGATTTTACCATGTCATCCTTCCTATAAGAATTTCATTCATCACTGATGACCATTGCTTGAAGTCTCTGCTTGGTGAGCTTAAACCTCTTAAGCATCACAATGATCGAAGCAAAATGAGTATAGGCAACTGAAAGTAACTTAAGAGGACTAAATCTTTGAAAGATTACCAATCTCATGTTGTGGTTCGTGATGAAATTCTTGATTTGTACGACATCCTCATGAATATCAATAATCTAATGACACAAGTCATATGTTTCCTCATTTCCCTCAACATGTTTTGCTGAACAAATATTCTTCAAGGCAAGATTAAGTGTATGGACAACTCACGGTATCCAATAAATATGAGGATACATGCTCTCAATAATCTCTCTTGTCCCCTTGCAATTAGATGATTTATCAGTAATAATTTGTACCACATTTTGATGACTAACCTCATCAATCACTTCTTTCATCAAATTAGCAATGAAAAACTTATATTTGACTTCACTAAAACAATTCACAACTTTAAGAAACATAGACTCATTTCCAGAAATAGTCATAAAATTAATGAGAGACTTTCTTGTTGGATCACTCCAACCATCACACACAATAGTTAATTATTTTTCTTGTCATGTTGCTTTAATCGGTTGCAAGAGCTTCAATTAGGTTACCGTGCTTCCTAGGTTGCCGAAAGCTCCAATTAGGTTATGTTGTTGCGAGTTTTTTTTAAAAAAATATAAAATGACGAAAAGATCTTGAGGACGCATGTCCTCGAAACGTCTTCAGGTCTCGGTAAAACGACTCCGACGTCATTCAGCAGTACCTTGCCATGACACGTCTCCGGTATATACCCAGCCGTCCCCATGCCGGGATGTATTGAGTACTTGAAACAACACAACTATGGCATCCCCGTGCTTCCTAGGTTTATAGGCATGCCAGCTTGTCTTGAGCTTTTACAACAAATTGCAGACAGTGGTGTTTGCCTTGTCGACTAAAAGGTATTGTATTCTGTTCATAGGGAAGAGCACCCTGTTAAATCATCTTTTCCACACTAATTTCAGGGAGATGGATGCATATAGGGGAAGGTTAGTTCTTGCATTTCTCAAATTACTATCTAATACTCTTTTAGCTTTTTTTTTCTCTATCATATGATAGATGTCTAAACTGATCTAATTTCATTGCAGGAATCAAACCACCAAGGGTATTTGGATTGCACATTCTGTTGGAATAGAGCCTTTCACAATTGCCATGGATTTGGAAGGTACCGATGGAAGAGAAAGAGGCGAGGTAACTAGCCTTTTTAAAATTGCCTTTGACTGTTGAAGATAATAGTATTTGCATTGCGAACCAGGCTATTACTTGGTTCATCTGGAGAGGAACGGCTTTTATTCGATAGCAGTTTTGTTCAAACCAAATTGGAGTGAAATACCGAAATGTCCTCAGAATTTGTTTTATTTTGGCAATTTATGATCGTATAAACATTACTGGTTTGGAGGAATTAACTGGATGTATATAGCACATCCAATTTACCGAGCTTCCTTTTGGTCTCCAAACCCACCAACACACAGATAAATACCAACACGGAAGATATACGAGTTCTGAATTTGTGAAGGGCACCTCAAAGTGTATATATTACTAGATATAAAATGTGTGTTA